TTCTTTCCAGTAGACTTACTAAAATATTAAAATATTGTTTGTATTCTTGCCAGTAGACTTACTAAAATATTAAAATATTGTATCTATTCTTGCCAGTAGACTTACTAGAATATTAAAATATTGTATCTATTCTTGCCAGTAGACTTACTAGAATATTAAAATATTGTTTATATTCTTGTCAGTAGACTTACAGGAATATTAAAATATTGTTTGTATTCTTGTCAGTAGACTTACTAGAATATTAAAATATTGTTTGTATTCTTGCCAGTAGACTTACTAGAATTTTAAAATATTGTATCTATTCTTGCCAGTAGACTTACAGGAATATCAAAATATTGTTTGTATTCTTGCCAGTAGACTTACTAGAATATTAAAATATTGTTTGTATTCTTGCCAGTAGACTTACAGGAATATTAAAATATTGTTTGTATTCTTGCCAGTAGACTTACTAGAATATTAGAATATTGTTTGTATTCTTGCCAGTAGACTTACAGGAATATTAGAATATTGTTTGTATTCTTGCCACTAGACTTACAGGAATATTAAAATATTGTTTGTATTCTTGCCAGTAGACTTATAGGAATATTAGAATATTGTTTGTATTCTTGCCACTAGACTTACAGGAATATTAAAACATTTTCTCCAGGAGGCTTACATAATGGCTACTGTTAACCACCCAAACCTTCTGAAGCTTCTAGCAGTTTGCATGACATCCCAGTTAATGCTTATTACTCAACTTATGCCTTTTGGCTGTTTACTTACCTATGTAAGGAACAACAAAGACAAGATTAGCTCCAAGCCTCTTCTCAACTGGTGTACACAAATTGCACGAGTAAGAAACCTTATGATTTATGTCATTTTTAACATTAAAATTGAACATCTATTACCTTTACAAATTTGGAATGATTTCAGATAATAACAGTGTTAAATCATTTGAATATTAGTAGCCTTAGCCAGCTTTCAAGTCATTTCAAAACATAGTGTTGAATGTTTTATATAGACCTGTAGCTGTAGACATAACTTTAGGGCTGATATCAATAATATCAGATATAAACTATTGTTGTCTCTTTGTGGAGGTTTTTTAAAATTATTTTGTGAAAAATTAGTGTGTACTAATATACACCAAACCTAAATAATGTACAGACAAGACCTCAAGTATCATTTAGATTCTACTTAGTTTGTACTAATATACACCAAACCTAAATAATGTACAGACAAGATCTCAAGTATCATTTAGATTCTACTTAGTGTGTACTAATATACACCAAACCTAAATAATGTACAGACAAGATCTCAAGTATCATTTAGATTCTACTTAGTGTGTACTAATGTACACCAAACCTAAATGATGTACAGACAAGACCTGTTGAAATATCTTAAACACACTCAACACCAAAGTTATTGTGGTACTTGTCTTACCTGTTGAAGTATCTTAAACACACTCAACACCAGACTTATTGTGGTACTTGTCTTACCTTTGGCAATATCTTAAACACATTCAACACCAGACTTATTGTGGTACTTGTCTTACCTGTTGATATATCTTAAACACACTCAACACCAAACTTATTGTGGTACTTGTAACAATAAGTCTGGTGTTGAGTGTGTTTATGATACTTCAACGGGTAAGACAAGTATCACAATAAGTCTGGTGTTGAGTGTGTTTAAGATATTTCAACAGGTAAGACAAGTACCACAATAAGTCTAGTGTTGAGTGTGTTTAAGATATATCAACAGGTAAGACAAGTACCACAATAAGTCTGATGTTGAGTGTGTTTAAGGGTACTTGTCTTACCTGTTGATA